TTTAAGGGGTTGTATATTTGTGTGTGTGTCTGACCTCCAAAGCCTGGTCTCATCGCAAAGTCGTGCTCCTCGATCCTCAACAGCTGTTCAGTTTTTATCAGCAATGTTTTGGTGCTGTCCTGCCTCTTCAGCTTGTGGTCAATACGCCTGTGGAGACAAATATATCACACACACACACGTGCGTGCACACACACACACACACACACACACACACACACACACACACACACACACACACACCACACACACACACACACACACACACACACACACACAGACACACACACACACACACACACACACACACACACACACACACACACACACACACACACACACACACACACACACACACACACACACACACACACACACACACACACACACACACACACACACACACACACACACACACACACACACACACACACCTGTGTTTAGTGATTACCTGGGTTATTGAAGCTGTCATTACATGTTATGATGAGGGAAAATACAGTTTGTGGTTCGTGTCTTTGTCCCCTCTCCCGCCCTGCACCTTGCTCTCATCCTGCCAACAACATAACCTTAATCAAAGGCGTGGTACGCTCCGTGAACATGGACACGTGTGTTTTAAAGCGTTTCATTATTTTCCAAAACAATCCTCAGTGCTATTTCAGGACACATAAAAGCAGCTGCTGGGAGAATAACACTGTGATGCAGATAAGAAGACCTTTACACAGTCCTTTCTTCAATAACCTTCAGGATGCACGAGTAATTATCATTTATTGATAGTTTATTTGATATAATAAAAGTCTCAGGTGACATTTTAGTAATTTAAATAGAAGTCATCTTATCCCAAGGTCAACTTTCTTACAGCCACCACTTGGAGCCATTGAGATAGTTTAGTTATCACGTCACCTTTGTATGTACTGTGTGTTAAATAATAACAGGTGGTTGTATATCACAGGAGATGGGAACATCTGTCTCTGATCAAGGATGGAACGACAGAGGAAGTAGACTTCAAACCCCTTATAAAAGGTCAGGAACAAGCCTTGGAGCAAGATCTAAAAGTGACGTCACAGCATGTGTTCTCATAACTGTATGGCAAGAAATGCAAAGTTCACATCGACTTCTCGACAGTGTGTGAGTGTTTTTAAGTGATGACATCCTCAGACATCGTAAAATAAACACAGTGTTGACCTAAATACACCGTAAAATTCTATATATGTCTGACATTCAACTGGGGAAACCCCGACAAGACGACATTCAGGATGCAAAAGGTGTAATTACGGACTGCCTCTCAGCCTTGAGCTGTGTCTGTGTCTGTGTGTGTGTGTGTGTGTGTGTGTGTGTGTGTGTGTGTGTGTGTGTGTGTGTGTCTGTGTGTGTGTGTGTGTGTGTGTGTGTGTGTGTCTGCTTTTAAAAAGGGTAAACATACACACACGTGCAGTACAAAGGTGAGTGCACAATTGGAAATGAGATAAAAGCTTTTAGACACTTTGAAAGTCAAACACCTTGACACCCACACACAAATACACACACAGATTTAGCTTGAAATCGGATCACTGATATTATTCATTAACACAACTCCTGAGAGAACAGAAGCTGCATTCATTCCTTCTTTCCAACAGGAGCGCCAGGAAAGTGTTTTTTTTATCCTATTAGATAAATAAAACGTGTTTCAGGAGCACAATCATGGCTGAATGATGGATTATTTTAAACTTGCAGAGGGTTTTCCGCTGCTGTGAGCAATACCATTATTGAATTCAAAGAATAAGGTCACTTCTTAAAATAAAAAGAAATCCAACTACTGTAGAAGTGTTTTAGTTCATTTGTGGTTTTTATGTGAAACGGGGAAGTGAAAGTAAACAAACCATGGGAACCTGGTGACACATTCGTTAGAAATCACAGCTTCCTACCAAACCACAGAAAATGCTGTACACTGTGGACAAGCACTAATTTGGCTGCTAATAGCTAATGCTAAACTACAAAGGTGTTTAGAATATGACACAACTTCAGAATCTTGAAAATATAAATTCTGTAACATTGTTCAATTACTATGCTGGCTGACACAATTGTCGTTCCCGAACTGTTGGACGTTCCTTACATGAATATACAAAAGTGTGCTTATATTGAAATCATAATCAGATGATTTTCGTTTTTGTGACAGTTGAAATAGTTTTTATGAAATCAATCATTTTTTTTACAAACAGAAGAAGAAAGAGATATCATGTTTCTGAGGTGATAATATGTCAGTGTTGGGTAAACAGCTCGTTGCGCTGCCCCCTAGTGGCCAACAAATGAAGGTGTAAGACGCATACAAATTACAAAGCTAATCATGCACGTCTCAGTAAGTGAGGAAACGTGTGGGATTTGTGTCTTACCCTCCAAATTTGAACTTGCTGTTCTCCCCGAGGAAGACCTCCTTGTTCTTCCTGCGTCCAGAGTTGCGACCCGCTGTCACCATGGAAACAAGGCTTGCGGCTGCCAGAGCGAGGCAAGTTAGTACGTCCAGCTTCATGTTTCATAGGTTTCCCCGCCACCATGAACAAGAGGCCAGCATCTCCTCCGTCCACACACACCTCCCTGCAGACTAACGCTGGAGGTCAGGGTCAAACATCCCACTGCGGCAGGAAGTATCCTCAACCGGAGAGCTGCCGAACGATGAGAAGACTTCAAAACAAGCCGAATACATGAGGGAAATGAATCTTAAATGCATGCATATGTAACTGTATCTCTGCAGCCTCTCAGCCTCCAGCTCAACATCCCGGCTGCGATGAACTCCACGACTCTTTCCCTCCGGCTTCATTCAGACCGCCTCTCGCTCTGTCCGTCTGTCTCTATCTGCGTTGTCGGCGTTTTTGTGGATCTTTCTATCTCTGATTAAAATCGATATGAATCTATTCCTCGCGGTGATAGAGGAATGACACTAATTCCACCCTAATCCTCTTATCCACCGCCACAGAAATCTTTCACTAACCTACAAACAGTCGCACACACATCCATCAGTAATCAGGATTTTCTCAGCGGGACAATGAAAAAACCGGCACCTGGTGTAATTTTATGGATTATATGAGGTATGCACACACCTCCACATTGTGTGTGTGTGTGTGTGTAGAGGTTATTTATGCATGAAAATCGGCCCAGATTTAATCTCAACTGGAGTGAAGCGAGCTGCATCGAATCCAGCCTCACCACTTCCTCAGTTTACACCTCTGGAAGACATAACACACACACACACACACACACACACACACACACACACACACACACACACACACACACACACACACACACACACACACACACACACACACACACACACACACACACACACACACACACACACACACACACACACACACACACACACACACACACTGCTTGCAAAGTCGAGCACAAACACACCAATGCAAATGTAGGTGTTTAATGTGGTTTTTGGCATTGGGGAATTAAATCCCTTGCAGTTTAAACTGTTGCGCCATCAGGGCTGTTGAATATTTGTGAAACATTTTTGCTTATTTTACAACGTTATGATCACAAGGCACCCAAAACGCGATGTGTTAAGTTCAATACAAACTACGAATATGTAATAACTTTAACTCAATACCACAGTGTAAGCATGGTGGGTCTGCCCTCTCTGGTTGAAACGGTGTAACTGCCAGCACACCCATCAGTGACATCACAGCGCCCTGAAGCACACATCTACATCACTGAGGTCAAATGAGAAATTAAACAACTCAAGGCCAGCTAAAACAAAGACATTTAGATGGAAAATTGCTCTTGAAAAGTTGTTCCAGAAACCGTTAATGAGTTAATGACCTACTTGAAACACTTCCAGGAAAAGAAGTTGACTTAATCGGAATTATGATTGAATCTATTGCTCCATAGTTACCAAAGTAAATATTAAACTTATTAGTCACATATCTTCCCAATAATCGGATCGAAATCAGGAGTAAATGAACTCTGCTCGGTCTTATAAAACACCTGTTTAATATTTTGTATTCAATGCTTTAATCATTGGTTAGCTGCTTGAATACCTAATGTTGGTAATACAACTATATTAAACCACAAGTTTAATCTTAAATATATATAGCATTTTCACACTTGTTCTTTAGTAAATACTCACAACATTGTGTTTTCTTTTATGACCAGTAAAGTATTCCTTTAATTGTAGAAGTGTCATAGAACATCAATTATTTTTGATTTGATTTAAGAAGACATAAAATATAAAGAATATAGGTTAATGTAGATGAAACATGTATGGGATTTTTTGTTATATGTTATATTCTGTATATTTCTTACCAAATTCACATGTAATTATTTCCCAACTAATGTCAGCTCTGCATGGTTGTTTAATCAGGCCTTGTTCTGATTGGTCCATTGATTTCTAAAATGTATGCACTGCAGAACCACAGTGAAAACAATCGTTATGTTTGTGCGTTTGATTGTTAAGAATGCAGCGCCACTATTACCGTCTTATCAGAGATTGTCATAATTATGCGTTAAGAGATAAGAGGGTAAAGTCCCTCCCTCTGTCTGATACTTACTGTAACTCCCAACACAGAGGTCGGACTGGTGTGACTCATGTCCCAGGTATGAGTAACTTCTCTGTTCATTTCCCAATGATATTACTCATCTGCACCTGGGATTGTTTCACTTTTCATGTGCCAAATGATGACAAAATAAGTAAGTAAGATGATCAAAATCCAACATCTGATCTGATGTTAGAGTTATGGTGTCAGCATTGATGGCCGTTTGTCATACAGCACATAGCACATGGTCAACAGCATGCACTAAAACGGCTCTGCTCTTTGAAAGCAAACCCCACTGACATTTGATGGAGCTGCCGCGCAAACCCTGACTTCGTTGTGTGTGTGTGTGTGTGTGTGTGTGTGTGTGTGTGTGTGTGTGTGTGTGTGTGTGTGTGTGTGTGTGTTTGCCAATCAGAACCAAACTCCACCCATTCAGAGGGTGTGTGTGTGACGAGCGACCTCCCTGCAGAGCCATGTGTGTGGTGATATGTTTGTGTGTGTGCTGCCTATTCTCTAAATAACCTGTTGATCCAGTCAGGGTAAAACTCAGTCAGCCTGAGGGAGCAACAGGCTCGGATCCTCTTCCTCAATTTTTTTCATCTGAAGCGGAGCTGCTGCTGAGTCACTGTAAGTGTTTTTTCAGCTTTCACTCACATTTCCCGGCACGTCATTGACAGATGGCACTGATTTGAGTCCTGTAGAAACTCTGGGAGATATATCAGGTCTATACAAAGTTGGCTTTTAGAGACTTCAGGAGAGGTTTTACTGAGGATATCCAGGAGCTCCTGTAAGTTATTGCTTTCAATGTATTCAATATATACAATGGTATTTTAGGAAAACTACTTAAGATACCAACTAAGGGAGCAGTTTAAGGTCAAGAAGAACTCAAACTGATCATTTCTGAGTCAGCAGCTAAAATAAGGTTATTCACAACGTTTTTAGATGCAGTTTTAAGTGATGATGAAGTTCTGAAGATGCAAAGAAACGTCCAAAAAGTATTGAGCTGGTTAGCCACAAACTTTAATAAGTGGAGCTTTGATGAAAGATGCTTCAATATATAAAATATTTTGTACATTTTAAATGCATGTTGATGAAATGCAGCGTCTTTCAAAGCCATGTGGGCTGGAAAGCAGAATGAATTTAAGGTGTTAGTGTTTGTTTTCTAGTTATTCTTACCGCCTTATTAACTAATACACTTGTTTTTAATACACAATAAGAGGTTAAATAGAGTTCCTGTGAGCAACGTGTGTCACTGCAAAGTGTGTATTGACTCATGTCATGATTTATTCCACTTTATTCTATATATTGATCTCTGCATGCTGCATAGATTTTTATAGTAATATCAATCACAGTGAGGTTTTGATAACAGCGCCAGGGATCAAAGAGTTATTGTTAGTGTCTTAATAATTAATCAGTGTTATTAATAGAGAATAATGTGTTACGGTTGATTTAGTGGCAGCAGATTGAACATTGATTTTAAGATAAGATGTGAGTGTACCGAGGTGTTTTAATAATGTCTAATACAAATATCAATAATAGCGACAGAGAAAATGTTAAGGTATGATTATATGTATGGGAGGAGGCACAAGTGAACAGTTCATTGACTTGGTGTTTTAAAACAAATGTGATTTATCCATTTTAATGTAAGGTTTGAAAAATCTGGCATTAATGAGGTAAAACTAAAAGAGTTATACTTAGTGTCTAATTGTGTTATAAATTCAGAAAATTGTATTTCACAGAAGCAGAGGCAGATTTGATTCTATTCTTCTGCACTTCACTTTTTGCTGTATGCACTTAAATGTTAAGCACATAGAACAATGAGATGTCCTCTGGGAGGTAAACATGCCTCGCTTCACCTCATTCGACCCTGAAAAGTCAAATGATTTTGGCGTCAAAGTCATGAAATGTATTGATATCTGTGTTTTCGTGCACTTTTGCATCGATACTCTTAACTGAAACTGTCTGCACTCCAAAGGTGTAGTCTTTTTGTTCAGAAGGGACAAAGGTTATCTGTCAACTCTTTGAGAAAAATGGGCAAACATGTTTTGTTGAAGGACATAAGCAACAAAGCAAAACACACTTCTCCTTTAGCGCTGCCATGCTCAGCCATTGGCTCTGTTACCAAGAGGAATTATTTGGATAAAATCCAAGTGCTGCCCTTTCTTCGACAGCCAACGGAAAAGCAATGAAGACTTAATCAGAAATAATGTTCTGTTCCTGTAGTGTGCAACCCTTAAAGAGAGTATTGTGCCCAGCTCTAATGCTGGAAGGATCCAAGGTAAACACATTCCTGAATCTGTCAGCGGCTGCACGCCTGGCTCACCTCCTGCCAACGAACATCCCGAAACCTATTCTCTCAGTCTGCAAACAGTAGTAACCTGCCTTATCTGTTAGGACTGATTGACATCTTTAGTAGAGGTCAAGCAGGTCCCATTTCGAGGAATGGTACCAAGTTCATCCGTTTGTTTTGAAAGGTTAAGATAGCGTAAAGATAAGAATGTATTGTGCTTGAAAAGATGTACCCTTTACCTTCACGCTATCAAACCACGCGAAAGATGTGGAGGATAAGATACACCAGATAGGTGTGACGGAGATAAAAAGAAAAAGGCTTACAGGTTTAAGGAGGGTGTGGCGGAAGAATGAGTGCTTCACCTGCAAATCTCATTGTTATTCTTTGGTGATGAAAAGGGAGTTTTGAGAAGGAAGGCAGAGGATCAAACCTGAATTCTCCTCTGCACATGTTCGGTCACGTTCACACTGTGTGTCTCCCTGTGTCCATCTGGAATGTGCCTCTAATTATGCTCCTCTCTTCCTTTTTCCTTGTGTGTGTGTATGTGTGTGTGTGTGTGTGATGCCAAACCACCCAGAGAGATCCAAGGAAAAAACCTGCCAGAAGGACAAAAAAAACATCGCTTGCATCGCCACAGAAAAAGGAAGCATGGATTGAAAGCTGTCTGCAAGTTCTGTGTCTTGCATGCGTGTAGCTGAAGGGAAATCATGTCAGCCATACACACCTGGGCCTGTTTCCTCCTCTGTCTCAGCTTCGCCTCGCCGGACAAAACCCCAGGTAGGAGACAAACGCCTCTTTGTCCAGCGGTTTCTGTAAGCAGGGTTCACAGGGATTAAACAGGTCTTTTTACAAAACCTGATACTCAAGTATGTAGAAGAAAATGCAAAAAAATCTCTCTATCTAAAAGTTGTCTGAAATCTGAAAACTGTCCTAAATGACTCATGTGGCTTACGCAAACTTTTTCCCCGACATGAAATCCTGACGTCAGGTATTAACTCAGGATGGAAATATTGTTCCACCACAGAAAGCGGAACAGCAGTGTAACAGCTGGTATTCAAGTAAAAGCCTGTCTGGTCTTAGTTTTAAAGATCTGCTTCACTGCTGAGACATGGAACATAATGGGGGGGGAGGGAAAGATAGACACACAGACTGAAGAAGAACTTGGAACAATTCAGAACATCCCTGCAATCTATATTTATCTTCTACTTCAGTGCCTGTATTTGTGAACATATGTAGCATATACAAGTTTCTAGATTCTGCAGCTATCATCCGTGTCTCATTAAATGTTTCTTTGATACTTTAGATCTGGAAATGCTTGCACAAGAAGGTCAAGAGAAAGACGTGCATATGCATTTTGATGAATCTCTCTATCACTAATTACTAGAATATCAATGAGTCATTTTGTTAGGACAAAGATGCATTTATCAGCTTTTGTACCTGTAATGTCTTTTGAAGCTGTTTGCTAGCTGTTAGCGCTGAAAGGGTTCACAGAGAGAGAGGGCTGCAAAGTTATCAAGATTGTGCTATCACTGTAATCTCATGTAAAACTATTCATCTGCTTGATTATCAGTTAAAGTGCATAACTAGATTGGATAATGTTTATTCTATTAAATAACTGCGCGTTTGAAGTGAGTGTGTCCCATTTGTTTTGACTATCTTTGAGCATTTCCCGGTTTGCTCGTCGGATTGTTTAAAAGACTTTCCACAAGGACACAGCATGTCACGTTACCGAGTGACAGGATCCGACTGTCACCTGGCAGGTAAACCGGTGGCTGCTTTGGAACATCCTGCAGGTGGGACAGACATTACAAAGCCTTGAGACATGAGGGAAACAGCTGTGAGCATGAGCTGGAAGACGTCAGTCATAACACGGTAGAAGAATGAGGCGTGGAAGGTGCTGAAAGAAGCAATCAGGCGATTAAGTAACAATTAATCTTCCAGTTATTCATCAGCTGTCACGCCAGTAGCTGTCATGCTCTCAACAAGTGGCGTACAAACACCAACAATACGGCACTATACCAACAATCTGGTGCCAGTTTTGGCTTTAAGCGTGTTCTAATTGTCGTCCTGAAAAGACCTGTCAGGGACACGAGTGTGGGAATTAGATTTTCAACAGGAATAATCTTGGGTGTTGGTAATAGGTGTTATGTAATCTGACAGCTGGTAAAAAGTGCACTCTAGTCATGAAAGTATGGTGTGACTGGTGGGTCATTCCATGTCAAATCAGATGGAGGTCAATCCCACGCTGGATTATTAGAAGATATTTGTAATACCGGTGATTTATTGTTTTCTGTTAATCATGAGTCACTGCACACCTCCGCCCTGGATGTGTGGCAATAAAGGAAAGTCGGGGGTGAATAATTCTTGTCACACATCATGTGTGTCATTTTAAAACCACAGAGATTAACGACATGAACCGTCACTTTGGTTCTGTGTGTTTTTTTGTTTGGCATTCTGTATTCCCATTTAAAAGTTTTCTTTCATCAGTATCCTAAATGTTACTTAACTACAATATTGATATACTCTGTGCTACTTCTCCTTCTACCATACCATATCTCTGAGGCCAATACTGTACTTCACCGCCTCTATCTTGTACAAATATAGTTAGGCCAACTTTCTTTTAATATTACCTTATGATATTCGTATATGTTATGATCCAGTACTGGCCTAATTCTATAGATATACCCGGTATACAAAGTCTCTTTGTGTATTTGTGGTGAGAATTATGCGTGCTAAAGGGGGATTTTGGTTTGGGTTGTATGAGCTGTGAGATGTTTTTCATGTAAACTATGATAACAGAGGTTCATTCCTTGAGTTTTACTGTAAGCAGAAGGAAATATCTCCACAACGCACAACATGTTTATCATAAGGGTGATATCAGGGGCTGGGAAATGTATGTAGGCCTATACCATAATGGACTTTCACTGTAAACAATTTCTTGCAAAAGGGGCCCAGCATGGTCTTAATCAGTACTGTTTGACAACCTCCTCACTCATATAAGAACAAGAATTCAGAGGTGGGAGAAGGAAGATAATGTACTTTTGTAAAAGTAGAAGTACCAGAGTATTACAAAAGTACAGTAATTGAGTAAATGTACTTATTATGAATTTGAACTGAAACACACCTTAACTCACCTCGTCTTGTTTCAGATATCATAGTCACGTGCTCGGTGTCTGGAGAGTGCGTGCTCCCCTGCAGCTTCCCGCCGGGCAGCGAGGAGACCATTGAGTGGTTCAAACAGGAAGTGGTGGTCTACAAGTTTGAACGTGAAGAAAAAGATGACAACGACAGCAGCGAGGAGCACTTTAAGCACGAACAGTTCGAGGGCCGCGCGGCCATCTTCCCTCACTTGGTGGCGCGCGGTAACGCCACGCTCATCCTCATGAGGAGTGGCCTCAAGGACCGAGGCACGTACAGGTGTCACGTGCACACCTCCAGTAGCGAACACAACGCGAAGGTCATCGTGAAGGTGGAAGGTGAGTTAAAATAGGATGCATAAAACATTCACACCAAACATTTATTGCAGTCTGACACATATAGGCTACAACAGGAATGTGCAATAATCGGCTTACATTTTAGATATTGGGTATTTTAGACATTGGGTATCATAAAAGTGTCTTTTCCCAGTACTTTAATTGCAAAGTACCAAATCAACTACATTCCCATCAGCATCAGTTACTTTGTGACAATATTAGCATTCTAACATGCTAAACTAAAATGGTGAACTTCAGCGTTTACCTAAAGACTCCAAAAGGCGCCTGCATGGCTGTAGTCCTGTTCTATAATTCCTGCTTTTATTCTGAATTTCAAGTGTATCATTTCTTCAAAATGACTTTAATTCTTTCTGCGCACAGATGTCAGTGCCAGTATTTGTTTACTACCAAACTCTATAAAGCCTCTGTAATGATGAGTGGGACGTTAGGGTACTTTTGAGGTTTTAAAAACAGTATTTCCAATGTTTGTAAGAACTGTTAGTGGTAGTATGTGTTAACAGAGCTCAAATGTTATCTGCGTGAGGATGATGTCAGGCTATATTGGGCCTTGGCATTTAGACTCTATCATGGGGCTGCGGGGAAACATTTCAGCATGCTGTGAGTGCCTTTGTGTGTGTTTGTGTGTGTAGCACCCATCAGAGGACTGTCTCTGGTGCTGTCCAGGCTCAGCGGCTATGAGGAGATGAAGTGCAGCGTTCGTGATGTCTACCCTCCTCCTCGTGTATCCTGGGCGACCGAACCCCCCACTTTCGAGGACCTCCGACCGGTCACACGCATGAGAGCCGACAAACAGGGGCTGTACTCTGTCGACAGCCGCCTCAAGAGGCTGAATGGACAACCCAACCTCATCTACATCTGTAAAGTCACAACTTCCTATGGGGGGCCGTCCTGGACCGCCTCACTCAGGGAAAGGGGTACAAATATGTTCTAATTTAGGGTTTAATGTGTTAATGGATGCCCTCCTGCAGACACAACTCAGGGCGAAAAAATACTAATTTGCAAATTTGTTCTCCAAGGAAATTAGAGTCATTCAAGAAATGAACATAAATGAATATTTGTCTTTTGCTCTCTGTTAGAAATAAGAGGAACTGAAGGGAGGGACCTGACCATCCCCTGCCACGCCCCTCCTTACCTGAACAAGCCCTTCCTCCACTGGAGCTTCACCAACGGAGAGGACACCTCCCTCATCCTCACCTACGACAGCCAGTCGGGGAACAGCGTCTCCCTGAGGCCCTGGGACAACCACGTGGAGCTGGACGGGTACGCGGTGCCGTTTGGAGACGGGTCCCTGCGACTGATGGACCCCAAACACCTGCAGCACACGGGCAGCTACACCTGTGTGTTCTCCATGCCGTACATCACACACACCGAGCGCACTGAAGTCGCCATCGACAACTATGATGGTGAGGACACACACCGTTGTAACCAAACTCTGTAATTTATATCAAACAGACAGGAGGAAATTGTCGTGCATAATGTCGGGACTACTTTCAGGGGCGGATTAATCCATATGTTGTGCTCCAGTAAGTTATCACTCTGATTTATAGCATATAATTTACCAGACTTATAATTTGAAGGAATAAACTGTTGGTTCTGTTTCCTATTTCATTTTCCTTGCATGAATCCAGTCCAGGTTCAGGATTTATTAAGTATAGGAAGGGTTTTTAATTCAGGTGAACCAACCACCTCTTGAATTAAGTAAAAGCAAATCAGATAAATCAGAAAATAATTTAAAAGAGCTCGCCCACCTATATGCATGCAACAATGCTTCTTGTTCATGCATATATCACAGCACTTTATTTATAAATGTTTGAATCCGTATTTGTCACCTGTGTGCAGTTGATCGGACGACTGCAGACAAGCCCTCCTATTGGTGGATTGTCGGCCTGGTGGTTGCGTTGCTGGTTGTCGCTCTGGCCGGCATGCTGGCCTACCTGAAGGTGAAAGGTAAAGATGGACTTCAGTGCACACTCACACCAGTTTAACCAGTTACAACTAATGAGCGTTTTCTAAGAATGTGCATTCGTTTCTGTGAAATAAAACGTAATAATTGTCATTGTTACACTCATTGTGTCTCCAATCTGTTCTTAGGAGTTCCCTCAAAAAGCAGAAAGGACCCTGAGGCTGTGACAGAGTTGCATTTAGTCAAAGGTCAGTCAAAACTATTTTAAAATATCACTTGCACCCAAACCAGACACTAGATGGAGCCAGAGAATAACTTAAGATCATAACTTAAGCTCCCTGCCATAATAGTGTTATGCTAAAATGAACTTATTACAGAAGTGTACAACTTGTCATTTTTAATAAATCCTCATTGATATAAGAAAAGAGAACATATGTAAAATAAATCATTGATCAGCTTAATGCAGTGAAATTAAAAAGCACCACAATACATCTACCTTCCAAAATTACCATACGCTTAGGGGAACCTTAATTAAATCATAACATTATATGACGTTAGGATTCATCGCAGGACTGTTTTTATTAGAACTATTTGATACAGTGGATCTATAATACAATTTAATAATATAATAGTAGGTAGTATGATGGGTACTATATCTAAGATAACTTGTTTTAAATAACGTTATTACCTTTGCTCCTTCATTGTCTTATCCTTAAACCTTTTCTCTCTTCTTTCAGACTCGTCAGCAGACAGCCACCTGAACGAGAGCAGCCCTCTGACTGTCGGAGGAACCAACGGACCGTCAGCCCCCCCGACGGGCTCTCAGATAACCTGAGAACCAACCGAAACCACATGGAGCATCACCTAAAGCTAATACTAACAGATCAAACAGGCACACCGCTACACACTGCCGAGGAACTTTAGCTTCTTAGAGTTTCAATAAGAGCTTTGGACAGAAAAAACACTTTATATGTATATTTGACTTTGAGTGTACATGCTGAGATGTATAGGAACTGCAAAACAAAATGCTTTTAGTGTCTTCAGGAAGGGTTTGTGACTCCTCACAGTAAGGATGAATCTGCTGTTATTTCAGGAACTCGGTTATGAAAATGTTTTCTCGTGAAGAATGTATAATATATATATATATATAATATAAAAGCCTGGAAGGAACACTTACCTGATTTTGGACCAGAGTTGGTTCTGGATGAAAAGGACGTTGTTTCTAATGTTTAAAGGTTGATGTTGTCACGATTCTTCAGATGCGGTGGGCTTGACACAGGAATACGTACAATGGACTTGTATTTCCTGATCTAGCACCTGTGGTACTCGGATATGGGCACCTAAAAGGGGCCTTAGAAGAACCTCAAGGATCACAAAGTTACAAGAGGGCTGAGAACCAAAAAGCTGCCTTATAGAAGAAAAAGAGCCTCTGTGTGAATGTATATTTGAACCACGGGAGGACACTTGATTTCCAAATAAAAGACTGACTTCCTACACTGTTCTGCTGCCTTTAAACCCTCACTTCAGTGAAGGATTCTCCAAGATATGAAGCGCCTTCTGGGAATCGTTCCCTGCCTGGATTATGAAAACGAATGTGAATGAACAATACAGATTTATATTTTTGAGAGAAATCGTGCAAATATTTAATCTGCAGAAAATTGAACTTGTTTGAATTTCTCTGTGAACTACTACCACACTTTCATGAATAATAGTTGACCTTTCACAAATGTGTCATAATGTAATGACATTAAAAAGACTAATAACTGAAGGTTTGTGCTTTTTCTGTCGGAGATATGACAAAATAAATGTCAACGATTGTTTAAACCGATTTGTGTTTTTTTGAAAATGTCATCCACAAAAGATTGTTTAAGAGATGTGAGATGTGACTTTATGACTCAGCAAAGTCAACATAACATTTAAAAAGAAGTTAATGTGAGTTTTATGAGACGACTGCCGTCTGTGTTTGCTATTTCAAATCAGCAATTAAAAGCATTAAACTCTGCATTTCAGCTTGTAGTCAATGACATAAATAAATAAACAGACCAGGGTGATAAAAATACACATACATTAATGTTATCTGATATTTCCTGCCTGTCTGAGAAAATGTAAGAAACATTAGAGTTAACCTTTGACCTACATTAGGGAGGACTCCTCTGGATTACAAGACTCCCAGCGATCATTGACACACTTCTTATCTCTCTCACCTCTAACCCCAAAGACAGAAATAAAGAAGGACCTTTTTTATAAATTATTCATCATCTTGTTATTTTAATGCAGAGTGAGATCATAACATTATCATCCATATAAAACCATGGGCATAGCTGAGGCTCTTTCTTTACATGTTCACACTTTCAGAATAAAGTTACAGTAGAAGGAGGAAGTGAGTGCCGGGGAACTGTCTGCATATTCACGTATCAGCGCCGCCATAATCGCACTTTAGACCCAGTCCCCAGATAATCAAAAATGTTTAATCCTACCTCCTAAAAACATGAATTACATTTTTGACTGAATGGAAATGGAAGAGGTTAACAATTAGTTTTTAGTAAGAGGACAATGATTAATAATTAAATGAGAATGTGTGTCTTTCGATCAGTAGTTTAAGCTAACATAAACTAGCTGATTGTTTTTCAAACTACAGTCCAACCTGTCAAGAGCAAAACAAATAAAGAAAATGTTTCCAACAATTACAATCATACAGATTTGATCTAAAAGACCCTATAGTGGGTAAAGGCAAACACCTTGACTAACCCTTTCATCAACTGTTGGCATTGAAAATAAACTACGCAGTAAGTGCTCTATTCATTAGATTGTTCTATTTATTAATATTATTTATCATTAGTCTGTCCATGACTTTGAAGCACAATCAAATCAGGGCGTGGCACTTCATGCACGTTATGAATTCACGAGTCATGCTGGAGCTCTAATGTGGAGCAAGGGGATATAAACTGGATGATATATGATAGCTTCCTACTTCCATTCCCACAATAGTCTGCACTTCTACAATGGCTTTGTCAGCGGTGTATTCACAAAATCAAAGTTAAACTATACAAAATGTCGTTTAACATATTCTCATTGCACAGTGAAATTAACGGATATTCTCCCTAAATGTCACAACTCTGGAGTGACGGATGGACCTGATGCAGGACCCTCATACGACGGTAATCACACACACACACATCAGAACATTACAGGAGGAGTGTTGAAAATACGAAATCACGAGTTCATGAGTCTCAGAGGAGAGCCCTGGTGATTCTGTATTGTCAACACTCTCCTGAAGGAACTGTGAGTGACCAATATGTCCCTGTCCCCACACAGAAACATCATCCAGAGGTTCGATGACATGTTATTCATTTTGCCACCTAAAGAGTTCATTGCGTTCCAGTGAGCACGTTGTCCTGTTGCTACAGAAGCAGAGGTTGAGATGCCATATGGTGCTCACATTCAGTCTTTTGAGTTTCAAGTTCAAGCCTTGTTTTCTGGTTAAAATGATCTCCATGTCTTATTATCTTATTATTACAGTTTTGTACTTTACGGAATATCCAAGAGGCTTTTATTTCCCATCATTTGGCCGGGAGAAAAAGAGCCAGGAATGAACAGAGCTACAATGAGGAGGGAGCCTACGTGACCTTTTTTTAACCTCCATTTATCCTTGGATGACTACGTTTTAACCATAACATAATAGTGTGAAACTTCGAGGTAATATTTTCTCTGGAAATAACAGTCCCTTTGTTATTTTGAGAAAGTTATAACCAGCCTCCACGTCTCTTATCTTCTGTCAGCTGTGGAGTTAAACTAATAGTAATCGTACAATACTCCCTTGTTAACTCAAACGCTGTGCAAACATAAATCTGTGTTACTGTGGGACTTAAAGACCGCTGTGGTATGTAGCTTATCCCTACAGGCTGACCTCTGTTACTGTTATCAGATATGACTGCAGAGACGATTAAAACCATATAATGTATTTCCACTTTTTAGTGAAATACACTCGACCATATAAATTACATATATCGCACTGAACATGTAAATGATTAGACAGGACTAAAGTGATGATTTAAATAACAGAACAAACAAAAAGGTGATAAAGGAAACACAAATGATTAGTATTCTCTAGGTTTCGGCTATTTCTAATGTCTCGAGTGCAAAGAATTAGTGGACTGGTTTCATCAGAGCAGTGCATTATGGGAGGACAGCAGCGATCAGTTACGAGCCGAACTCCACGGTTTCCTCTGTGATGGGCTTGAACTCGTAGTTCCCTCTGCCGTCCATGTGGAGGTAAAACTTCAGGGCACAGAGGAAAACGTAAGATATATCAATCAGTTACAAGAAGTACGACATATTTCAATGTTAAAAAGACTAAAGTGTGACATGTTTTAACAAGAACAAACAGATACAGAAGCCCCGGAAATGTTGAATTTATGAGAAAGGAAAAATAAGATATGGGAAAGAAAAAGATCCCATATATTTAAAATGACATTTCCATGCAAAGTATACAAAAAAACGATATAGAAATAGACAAAATATGAAAAAATAATAAACTTAAGACTGCTGTTTCTACAGTTGGATTTTGATACCCTATTTTATTGTAAAAATTCAAGTTTTTACAATAAAAAAAGTTTTCCCATAACTTCTAAAAGAAATACTATGCACAATATAGAATAAGAAATAGTCAAAATAACCTTTGTAGCGCTGACCTTACAGTTTCAGTTTGATACCACTGTATAAATAAACGTTTTGAACAATATATATTTGCTATATAATTTCATTTTCAAAGTGTGATATATAAAATGACTGACTGCAGGGAGAGAAGAGTAAAAGGAGTCTGTGGCGATAAAAGGATTTCATTGGTCAAGTGGTAAAAACACAAATGAAACGCAGCTCTTACCTCGTGGTGCTTCCACAGAGACTTTCTGTGGGACACTGTGAACAAGGTGATGCCCACCTGTGGAGCAAAGGACACACAACTAGTACAGAAATCCACACCTGTTCATTTAGAAACCTTTCACTGCAACATGAATGAGTCACTGGGTGTTTCTCAATGTCGAGGAAGGCTGCTCCAGAGCCACTATTTCAAGCATACTACGTCATCGAGTCCCGCCGAAGGACTGCTCCAATGTCCAGGATGCTTGGAATTCTACCGAGGCCGGCGTATTTCGTTGCGGGAAATTTCGAGGCTGCACATGTGTAGACTCCGCGGTCTTAAAATCCCCACAATGCTTTGCGCACGGACCAATTTCCAAAATCTTTGGCGGAAAATGTAAGGCGGGGCCTCTCATATGACGCACACCTGCACACTTGCTAGCCTGTTCCATTCTTCGTGGCTAGGAGGTATTCTTGCCTCGCTTCTGAAGGGACTCACTCGGAGGTACATGTGCTACCAAGCAAGCCTCCTCGACATTGAGAAACACCCACTGCTTTAACAAGAGTGGTGCAGGAATGAGGATATCTGTATATTAGTTTTAGCAGCATTCAAAAAAATCAACATCCCTGCATCCCCCTCTATACCGAGACATTGTTGTTTCCTAGAGATGTATAGTGTGTGTGTGTTAGGGCTGTGCAATTAATCGCAATTACGATTTTGGCCTGCCACAATTACGAAAACAACATAATCGAAAAAAACGATTATTTTGCTTTGCTAGGTTGTGACAGTGCACTGCAACATATTTGATCTAATTTATTTGTATTTATCATATTTATATATGTTTAGTAGCTTGTTGAAGTGCGCTCCAAAATATTTGTTGATTGGTATTTATTATTTTGATATTATTTATTTAAATGTATCATTTATTTTAGTATTGGTTTTTCAGTTGAATTATACGTTCAGGGAAATCAACAGTTAAGAAGATACTGTTCAAATTATTATTTGTATTTGTTTAAAAGTTCAATAAATGGATGTTTTCAAAGTCAATGAATAATCATATTTAATAATCGTGATATCAATTATTGACCAAAATAATCGTGATTATGATTTTTGCCATAATCGCACAGCCCTAGTGTGTGTGGTGTGTTGTTGGTGCGTACCGTCCTGCAGTGGCTGTAGATGAAGTCCTCCACATCCACACTCACTGCACTGGTGCACTCATCCAGGATGGCAAACTGGGGCTTGTGGTAGAACAGCCTGGCCATCTGCAAACAGAAACACACAGTCAATACTGAGGAGGAAGTATAAAACGCTATATATAGATATATCTGTTTTATTGAGTTGCTCTGTTGGAGGAGCCTGTGACCCAAGTCATAACTACACTGTATCTATGCACACATGGCAATAAAAGCCTTGAAACTTTGTATCATTCTCCGTGCTGATGGATCAAATAGGCCGTTTCATTCACACTCCTTAAACTGTAGTTAATGTGTAGTTATATATCTCACAGGAGGACTATCTTAGATTTTTGTATTAAGCCATGCTTTGTGCTCTCTCGCTTTAACTTACTATGTCTTCTTGTACCTTGTCTGTATACAAATATTAAATTAGTTAAATAAAACAATTAATTCAGCCGCAAACCGACTTTATGTGCGAGTTTGAGAGGCCCTACCACCTGAGCAGGATGATCAGATAGAAAATACGACACACGACGGCGTGTTTTCAGTAATTTAAATCAATCCCTGTGTCATGTCCTTACAGCCATCCTCTGCTTCTCCCCTCCACTGAGCACGTCCATCCAGTCCTGCACACAGTCCCAGCTGCCCTCCCGGTCCAGGATGTGGCCCAGCTGCACGTTGTCCAGGTACTCCTTCAGCACCTACACACACACAGGTGAGAAGGTGTGTGTTACTATAAGCACACACAGACAGCAGGAGTGAGTGTGTGAGGTGTGTGGGGTCCCACCTGAT